AAGAGCCTTTGCTGATAGTAATTAATGTGCTTAGAAAAATTCATTCTGGGGTCAATTCAAAGATATGAAGCAAAACCTGGTTTACTTTTGGCCTAGATTCGTATGAGATATTTAATCAAGTGCTACCAGAAAATCTTGAGATCAAAATAGATATTTGGATTAAATATATCATATTCCAAAGTTACTCCATTTGTGAGTTCTAGGGTGTTTAAGTTAAAATAAAAAAATATTCCTTTCTGCAACTGCCAAAGAAGTAAACTAATTCAAACCTTCAAATTTTAAATGCAGTAGGATCAGTTCAACATGTAGCTAGTATGACATGCTGTTGTGATAACAAAACCTCATATCAAACAGCTTTTTTGAATTATACAGGGTGTTCTAGAAGTTCTATGACAAACTTAGGCAGATGGTTGCTGGGTTAATTTCAAACATTTTCTTTAGAAGTTACAAGCATTTTAAAACATATAATTTCATATTTTGATCAAAGTATCTTGATAAATAAAAGAGATGGTTGCTATAACAAGAATTACTATTTGTATTTAAACTTCAAACATTAGTGAACCTTCCACACTCGGTTCGAATACAAGCCTCACATCGGCGAACTAAAGATTCCGTAACTTGATGGATGAGATTCGGAACGTTTCTTATCTGGTTAGTTGTATCCTGAATTCTTCGGAGTGACTGCTGACAGAAAGTGATTTCAACATGATAGACAAGCTGTCCAAAGGATTTAGATCTGGGGAACGCCATGCGTTGTCGACTTATCCATTTATTTGGGAAATGATCATTTAACCAAGCAGTTGTCTTCCTCTATGTGGTGGTGCACCGTAGTGCTAATACCACATATTTTGAACAACATTAAGCTCTACGCCATCAATGAAATCAAAAAGTTTGTTTTCCAAGAATGTCGTATACAGGCAGTAAATTATTGTTGAAAATGCTATTCCAAACGATGAAACGTCGCCGAAATCGTCTTGATCTAACTGCATGCGGATCTTGTAACACCCAGATATGTTCATTATGAAAATTATTTATGCCCTCCCTATTAAAACACGTTTCGTTAGATAGCGGAATAAATCTATCATTTTGTGCATGTTGTTGAAGTAATCAGCGACAAAATTCTAATCGCTGAGGAGCATCTCCAGCATGTAAAGCATGCAACGCTTGTACACTTTGGCGGTGAAACGGATGTAACAGTCCTCTATTCAATACACGCCATACAAAATTCGGTAATAAAAAATGAAGATTACACTGAACACTAATTGAAGAGTTGTCAATGCAGCATCTATCTACAATCACTTCAAAGTTGCCAATGCCCAACAAACTATCGCCGATATGTCGAGATATCTGACTGAAAGGGTTAAAAACGATATTGAGATGATCTTTCAGATCACGATCAGAACAATCGATTTTTCACCATCATTATCGTACAATAAAAATCATAGCGATTGCCGTCTGCATTAGCGTGACCAGATGTGCACCACGGGGAGGTTACTAGATCGGACTTAGCACATCATGGGATTCATCGAAGTACTTGATATTATTTCGAAAACCAAAAATGCAGGCAATACGAGCACTTGTGCCTAAAGTCCAGTCACCAGATAAACATGTGCAATGACATCTTATATCGTTCATTTGTATGCTCGTCAACAAACTCTTTATAATTTACCCTCGCGATTTTATCGTCATCTAGTTTTTTCTGGCTTAAAGTTCGGCAAGTCGCTGCAGCATGCATAAAATATTATGTTGCTTTTAGTGGCTCGAAGCGAATGCTGTTTTTCAAAATAAAATGTTACTTTATGCATAAAACCAGTATGAAATCTTGAAATAGGATTAAGCAATTAACTAATGTTTACTTTTTAAAAAACATTTATCCATCAATACCTTTACAAAAGAACGAGAAACTTCATTTAATACTTTTGATTAATCGATTGATTGATTCAAAACTACGTTTCGGTGAAATAATGTAAAAAAATTTTAATCTATCCATTAATTCTTTTCAAACATATTAAATGATAGCTTAATACTTTTATGCATAAAGTAACATTTTATTTCAAAAACGCAGCATTCGTTTCGAGCCACTAAAAGCAACATTTTATGGATGCTGCGGCGACTTGCCGAACTTTAAGCCAGAAACAACTAGATGACGATAAAATCCCGAGGAAAAATGAAAAAGAGTTTGTTGACGTGCATACAAATGAACGGAATAAGATGTTATTGCACATGTTTATCGTGACTGGACTTTACGCGCTCGTATTGCCTGCATTTTTAGTTTTTAGGCTACGAGCGATTTCGAAATAATATCAAATACACCGATGAATCCCGTGATGTACTAAGTCCGATCTATAGCAACCTCCCCGTAGTGCACATTGGGTCACGCAAATGCAGACGGCAACCGCTATGATATTTATTGTACGATAATGATTATGAAAAATCGATTGTACTGATCGTGATCTGAAAGATCATCTCAATATCGTTTTTAACCATTTCAGTCAGTTATCTCGATATAGCGGCGATAGTTTATTGGGCATTGAGTAAAAATGTAGTATTTTTTTACCATACTATGCAGGTAGTGAAATTTAAAGAATTGTAGATTCAGTGAGCTGCAACTTTGAACCATGAATTTTTAGGGCTTGACGCCCATTAACACTTTTAATCTACCACTCAAAAGCTACAAGAACCACCTGGTTTCAAACCATTTGACCGAAAACCAATTTACATAAGGATTCCGGCGGGGTCCTTTATCCTTTTACTCAATGTGTGGCCACATTAAATATTTTTTACTATTTAGGGCTGGTCTTTTTAGTTGTTGGATAAATTTAACTGTCAATTAACGTCACTTTTCTATACTGGGAGAATTATCAGGAAATGAGATCTCCTTAAACAAACTTACTTTTATTCAAATATCTCTCTCACGTGTTTGTTGCAACAACATTTTATGGCTATATCCCATATGATGCCGACATTTGAAGATGCAAGTTTAAACAATAAAAAAGTATTTTAAAACTACAAATTTAGTAAAAGTATTGCCCGTAATTGACAACAATGGTACAAAATTTACATCAATTTATCTCGTCCTCTCTACTGGCCTTTCTTTCGATAGTAGTCGATACCTTGGTAACAACGCACCGTTCGTACATCAAACTCATCTTGTCCATGAGATTCGTAGATGAAGAAGATAGTCCACAGAGTAGCAAAGAGAGGAGATCTTAATAGTAAGATAGCCACCTTTTTGCAAACGAAATACAGTTATTTTCTATTGAAGATTTTGTATAACATATTTAAAGCGCATCTGAAACTTATGAGGAACATAAAGATCAAGCTGTACTCAGAAAATGTTGAGAGCCTCTCTCTGGTCGACCCTTTTCGATATCTGATTTCGTTCAGAATATTGACCTGAGTTCTATACACGCCCCAGTAGGACACACTCTTTTTGTAGCCTGCGATTTGTAGATCCTCCCTCTGGTTGGCGCTTACACTGAGGCATTCTTGGGTCATTTTCTTCGCCTTGCTTCACTGTCTCTTTTGGTCAAACAGTACTTTGGATCGGCTGTAGGTCCGTAGTTAATAGTGGGACGCTAGATTGATAATATAGATAAAACATTATTTAGAATATTTAAAATAAAATGTATTATGTAGTTACTATAATATTGAACGAATAATGCAATGATGTGAAATTAACGAGTATTAGCCAGACTCTTAGTCCTGTTTATTTATCTGGGGAAAATTAGAGCCGATGTTCATACACATTTCAGTATGGCTCCGCCAAGTCTTAAGATAGACTTTCGGTGCGATATCTGACATGCATCTGGCATTTTTGCATTTAGGTAATCTTTGGGGCTCATTTCGAACTGTCATGGAATCTGATTGCTTGTATTTGTGCAGAGCAGCTTAATCCCCTGTCGGAATTTGAATTTGAATTTCCTGGTCCTGGTAATGGGGTTCTGTGGGCAGCTTCGGCGGTTGACCTCCAAGGTTAGTTAGATTTTCAACCGACGCTTTCTGGATGACTGTGACTGTTGTGACAAGCTTCAGGTTCTCGGACATGTGCTGCACTGTCAGAACGGTTTTTGAGCCGTTTCTGGCTTTACTAGCGATTTTGGTGATGGATTCGAAACGTAAGTGATTTTGGATCTGCTCACAACAATATTAGCACATGACAAATATCTCGCAAATATTTGGTAAACGAAGACATGTTTTCGAATGCATCGATATGCAGCATGCACAAGATATAGCATTTGTTTATGTGTGACAAATAGTTGATAGTGACCACATCACCTGAAGCCGTCTTAAGAAAGTGTTTTTTTGAAATATGTAAAAAATATTCAGGGTGCAAGATTAAAATATGCACGTTAAGTTACGTAAGTTTAACGTACCTAAGTATTAGAAAATATAAAACGTTTCTTACAATTTTATTACTGTTACATATTTTTCATACCTCTTGTAATGAAAATAATAGGTACTACAATTTAAGTGTGATTCCTTAGTACAGAGGACTAGATGCAATAGTCCAGTCATTACAGACATGAAACAGCCCGTTTCGGGAAAAAAATACTATTAGAAGTTTCTCTGCGGAATATTGTTCGGAAACGTGTTATAAACAAAATATCAAAAAATCAACTTGAGGCTAGTTGGGAAACTTTGTTTAAACTGTGGTGTATACGTTGTCCACCAAATAATGATCACACCAGTTAGAGTCTAATTCTTTATTAGATTTACACACAAAAATTGAAATAATAACACTTGATGTGCCGATGCCGGTCAACTGGAGAGTGACCCAGATTGCCTGCCTAAGGGTACGGTCAGCTACCCAGAAGGGTAGATTTATGACACGACAAGTGCTTCTGAGATAGGCAAATCTGTTTCAATACAATTTCTTATTGTAAATATTTTCTATTAACGCAGAGGCGTACCAGGGAACGTGTGTCCTCACAGTACCCCCCTGCTAGTGCTAACGTTATCTGCTATAAATAAAAAGAAATAAGAGAACTATGTACATATTAATTGAATCCGCCCTGCAGTAGATCTGGGAATCGGACACGTCTGCCTGCTCTTGTGGTCCTGACGTTCCTGATGACCTTATCTTCCTGGATATTGAGAGGACCACCCTGGTTGGTTGTTTCCTCGGACGCGATGTAGGCTGGCTTCAGTCTATCAACTGATACGGTAGTATCACGTCCGTTGATGTGGACGACAAACGTCTTCTCATTCCGCTTTAGGACTTTATATGGTCCGTCGTAAGGCTGTTGCAGGATCCGCTTCGAGATGTCTCGGCGTACAAAAACTTGGTCTGTGGTAGCGAGGTCTTTGAAGACAAAAATTTTTTGGTTATTGTGTCGCGACCCGTCACTGGGTCGTAAGTGTCTCATTACTTGACGGAGCGACTTCACAAACTCTGCAGCGTCTTCAGCGGCTTGGTCTAGATGTTGTCGGGCTAGGAACTCTCCAGGCAGGCGTAGAGACTGGCCGTACACTAGTTCTGCTGCTGTTCCTTGGATGTCCTCTTTCCAGGCTGAACGAGTTCCCAGGAGCACCGTGGACAAGGTCTTCGTCCATCTGGTACCGCCATGGCACATTATTGCTGCCTTCAGTTGTCTATGAAATCGTTCCACTAAACCATTTGCTGCCGGGTGATATGCTGTCGTCCTTAGGTGGGTTGCGCCTAACAAGCAGTTTAGATGCTTGAATAGGTATGATTCGAACTGTCTGCCTTGATCGGTGGTAATTCGTACAGGCGTCCCAAATCTGGCAATCCAGTGGTCAAAAAGAGCTCGAGCAACTGTCGCTGCTTCTTGGTCACACAGGGGTACAGCTTCTGGCCAGCGAGAAAATCG